TTTATCTACTACCTGAATGATTACACTAAAGTGCTAAATATACTAAGCCTTTCCTGCACAATAGTTTAACCTTGGAAGTATTCATTTTTGTCAGACTACTATATTTTGTAATAATTCTTTTTATTGCCAAGGAGACAGTTAGATAAGTAAGTCGGTCTTTCTTCAATTTCCATGACATAAGGATGTACTTTGAGACAATGAATTTCCTTTATTTTCAAGACATTGTATTGCAAAATATAAATACCAAAATAACTTTTGTTTGACGGATGATTTTCAGAGGAATTTAGTAAATCTACAATTACTAGTATATGAATAAAGTAATCAATACAAAATCTAACAAACTTTTTTATAGGCTGATATAGTGGTTAAGTATTTCATTCAATGTTCAATGATCTCTAGGATTGCATGATACAATTATAAGCTTTACGTCTTTTTTCTAGATAAATAATTTAATTTAAATTATGTCATCGAAATTGGCAATCTTCTGTTGAATATTGAACACAAGGTTATATCATGATTTTTCTAGTGAATAATTAGTCTTGACACAATGAAAAAGTGCTATAAGCAACAAAGAAATTTCTGATATGAAATGAAAAAATTAAAACAAATCCTTTAATTTAAATTGTACTATTTCTTGTGTATTATTTAACTGATGGAATATCTGGAAACACGGTCATTGTTTGAAGAAAAGTACGTAGTTATGTGAATTCACTTATCTTTTCTCTCATATGTTGTATAGAACCTTGAAGTTTAGATTATTAGTGTTTGTTGCAACTCATCAGAAAGAGATATTTTCATGCTCAGTAAGACTGATTCTATTTCATGGTTGATTGGTTTAATTGTTAAACTTCCAGTGAATAGTTCACAACTTGGAGTCTTGGCTCATCTAACGTAATATTATCAACTAACTAAGGCTATAAATGACTATGTGAAAAGTACAAAATGAAGCCTATTAACTGGACAGGGATTCGTTTGCTGATCTGTATTTCAGAAAGTAGAATTTATGCTGTTCACAGCAGTAATGGAATATTACTTGACGGCTAACAATGGAATCTAGGGTGTGCACTTCGTCGTATTTTAGACTCGTCAGCCAGGTGTACATGCATCCCAGCGAGTGATACTGACCCCGCTGAGACTCGAACCCAGTTGATAGTCACTAGATAAATATGCTTGAAGAACATGACATTTGTACGATAAATAATTAGGTCACTTGTTTTACGAAAATAATCATGTTTATTTGCTATTAGTTGTTACTTTTATGGGTTCCTATCTGCCGGCATGCACTTTGGAACTACAATGACTGAAGTCAATGTTGTTAGTGATTTGTAAATAAATTGTCGAAAGGATTTACTACTGACAATTCGTATGCAGTTTCTATTATCCACCTAGATAGTTTTCACTCACTGGATAATTGGCCGATGGGTTAAACTGAACGTTTTGGGTTCTGCCCCTGGAGCGGTCATGGGTGTGCACTGCCAATGAGTTACATACCAGAACGAAACAGTTGTCCAGTGCTCACCGGTTTTCGATGATTTCCTGATGGATTCCAGTCCATAATGGACACCACCCTGAAAAGATACAGTAAATTGATCTATACACATCATTAAAGTGTCAATATTTGTTATACGTTTAATCTTTAGTCACCTCAATAACTTAATTCACTATACATTAATTTACATTGTACTAAACACTTGTAGATGTGTGAGATAAAAAAAGGCACCTGATAGGAAATGTCGCCGACTCCTGATCGATGTGTGTAATGATGAAATGAAATCAGATGGTGTCTACTCTGTTTTTATCGATGATTTCTAACTATGGTTTAATGTAAATGGATTTGTCAGATGATGTCATTGGAATGTTTAATCAGAATCGTAAATTTTAGTCATACACTAGTCGACAGAAAATATTTCAAAAATCCAGTTAAGTGATTGATAGAAAATTAAATTTTTAACAAGAAAAAATCAGCTTCAGTCAAACTTTGATATCATTTTGAGAGCCAGTGAAAGCCAACAGGCATAAGGCATAGGCTTTACAGTGAAATAGTACAGTACATACATGTAACTTCAGACTAAATCAAGTTCAGAATAGCTCAATAAACGAGTCTTGTAATGCTCAACTCACTTAGGATAAGTGGAAAACGTCGATGAACAAGGATCTTATAATGTGAATGAAGCAAGAAGAACAATAATAACAGAAATGGCATGCTTGTTTTTTTTCATGGATTCTCTTCAACTGCTTCACAACCTATAGAATATAATTCTAAATAGTAATGATAGATAGTGGCTAGCAGTGGAATCCTAGATACGCATTTCCATATATCTATCATATGCATCAGCGTATTCATCATTGCTATAAAGAATTAAAACACAGGCAATATGTTGGCATCTGCGCAGGAGCCCATATGCCAACGGAGACCTATTAATTCGGTCCAATCAACGACGGTATAATACAAGCAATGAAATAGAATATAATGTTTATGATGAATAGTATGTTATTAAACGTACTTTAATAAATCAACGAAATCTAATATGCATTTGAGATGTAAGTTAACAAAGATTTAGGTTGACTGATGAAATTGTTAAGACTAGTCAGAGGTATAGATTTGTGACCTAAAACGCGGATGATAATTGTTTGGTGTTCTACAGACTTTAAGGTTTATTCCTGAACATTTCAACATGTTAGAGTTTTCTTTCCATTCCACCTCTGACTCGCCAGACTTGAGAAGCACAATCAGCAAGTGAAAGGAAACTAAATTAACTTTACTTTTAGTATATATTAAGGTAAAAGTTTGCGTCTTTGGAATTGTCCAAAAGCAAACAAGATACTTAAACCACTCTTGTTAGCTTTTTGCATGATAACTACTTCGTCTAACGTGGTAGATATTACTTTCTGGTCGCGTTTAATGTTCAATGAATGGATCTACTTTTGCTTATCTTAATCCATATAGCTATCAAGTTAACAATGCAACCACTAAGTTCCTTAACATGTAACTTTGGCAATCTGTGGTTCAACATCAGATGGTAACAGCCAGTCAATAGGTCGACTAAACGATTTCTCGTAATTATATTTACCATTATGCAACAGCTGTGGTAATAACCATCAAACTGAGGCGCAATATGCCGAAAATGCACCCAGTAATAAATAGTGCCAGATTACTACAAACGTTTACGGCTTGTAATTACCTTTCATTTATTAGATTCAGGTGATCGGACACAATTGGCCCACAGAATCATGCTCAGATACTTTGATATTACCGATAGTCTCATTTTGATAGTGATAATGGGTAGTAGCTGGGAGAAGAATCCTCTACAAGTGTTTCATTGTAGTTAGAACTGATCAACTGGATGTACCTGCCTCTCACTAAGAGTTTTTGTTTCCACTGAGACTCGGAACTAGAACTCACCGCCAAAAACTTTACAGCGTTATTCACTAGGCTACTGAATCACAAGTCTCATTTAGAAAAACGTCACTCACTGGGAGGCGGGTACATCCACGTCCTGGATTCGACTACCAGACACTTTCATTAGTACGTTTACGTAAAAAATATAATTGTCTATATTATGGACTCCAACGCAGAGATAATAGCACAGAACCGTAGTCAACTCTCTACCTCCACTTCATCGACTTTGAAAAGACCTTCGATAGCGTCGACTAAGAAGTGATTTGGAAACTCCTTCAACACTACGGTTTTGGTGCCACAACCTTCATCAACCTCATTCAACAGCTACATGATGATGATGATGACGATGCTGCATGTCAAGTTATTCATAATGGAAAGCCCAGTGATGCTTTTGAAGTGAAGATAGGAGTGAGATAAGACTAGGTTGCCGCCTACTATCACCAGTGGTCTTCCTGATTGTGGTCAACTGGACTGGATCATTCAAGAACTGTGAGAAGGTGAACATACGCTGTTTGACCGGTGGAAAGATCCTAGAATATTTGGATTTCACCAACGGTGATTTATGTGTGATGCCTTGTCGCACAAGCTCGAAGATGTACAGATGAAAACCAAGGAGTTAACAGAAGGGGCAGCGAAGACGGGACTTCCTCCAGGTGAACTTAGAGAAGACAGAGGTGATAAAGATACCCAGCTAACAACAACAAGCATCAATGACCATGAACGGGAGAAATCGAAAATAAGTTGTCTGTTTCACCTACCTGCCTAGGCAGAATGGTTTCAACTACAAGTGGCACAGGCACAGATGAGGACGTCAACACCAGGATCGGAAAGACAGCAAAACAAGCCCTTCTTCACTAATCTGAAATCAGTGTGGAGATCTACTGTACTTCACTGCTGTCAGTATAAATCATGAAGAAGATCCAGATTTTCAAGACTGATGTCAGTCAAGTAAGTCAGTGCTTCCATGTGATGGTTGAGAGACTTGACGCGTTACGACAAACATTTCCAACAAACTACAGAGACACATCAACAGATGCCACCTACACTCGCTTGATATTGAAGATCAGATGTGAAGGCCATAAAGATTAATCAAGAAGGAACTGTGGCTTGCTGACAACGAACCAACCAGGAATCCATCACCTAACAAATATGCAGGAGAAGAAAGTGGAGATGGATTAGATTGGGCATACACTGAGGAGACGATTTAGGAAGATTACGCAACAAGCCGTGGAGTGGAAGCCACATGGAAAACGATGAGTTGGACGTGTGAGCTGAGGCTGACATGGATGAGATGTTGTGATTAAGAAACGAAAGGTTATGGGCAGGCAGTGGTGGAGCTATTTTGAAAATACTCTAGAGAAGAGAGTGAAATGGCGATGTGCTACTGAAGTTCTATATTCCGTTATGAACCCAAGGGACAAATATAATAATTAATAACTATTGACTACTGTTTTCAACATCTCTAAAGTGATATTTCTAGTTCAAGTGATTTTATTGTTTCATGTTACTACATAGAATTTGTTTGACTGTGTACGTAGCAGTGAGTTCAGTTATCTCTGTCAATGTCAAAAATCTTTTTTTTTTAAAAACTTAAATTTAGGTCAGGAATCGTTTGCAGGTGTAACAGATACAATCTATCGAAGTGGTGATGGCTTCATAATCGTTTTTTCACTAACTGATATGGAATCTTTCAAAGCTGTTGGTGCCCTTCTGTAAGTTATTTCATATACAACACAATTTCAGTTATATTTACGTTCGACAAGTAATTGAGTTCAACTGTTTTTCACTTACATCTTATCATCATCAACATCATATCAATATTAATAAATACAAGAATGTACCGGCTAAAACCGCAAGGTATGCTGTAGTCGAGAAGTTGTTATGGGATTTGTAATTTCCCGTTGCTATACAAAGCCGGATTGCTTGACCTATGGTGGTAGATGGGCTGCTACGCGGAGGCCTCGATACTGTCGATTATTCATGATGTTGTTTTGATCTTGGTGACTAGCGGAGGAATTCAGGACGCATGTTTCGTCCTATTTTGAACTCGTTGGCTGGATTTACCTGCACACCAGTGACTGATGTTGTTCCTACTGAGATTCAAACCCAGTGCCGATCACTTCAGACGCCGAGGCGTTATCCACTAAGCCACTGGGGCACGATAGCCAACTATAGTGCAACGAGTATCAGTTGTTATTACGATACTTGTAATTTGCCGTTGCTATATAGGGCCGAGTTGCTCGACCTCTGTTAGCAACGCGAAAATGCAAATATCATAACAACTACTGATACTCGTTGCACAAGAGGTGGCTATTGTGTCCCAGTGGCTCAGTGGATAACGCCTTGGCGTTTGAAGCGATCGGCACTGGATTTGAATTGTCTAGTTGAAAGTGTAATCACGTTGACTTTCATCACGAGCTGACATCAGCTGGAGAGCCATTAGAAAACCTAGGAGCACTGAACAGCTGTTTTGTCCTAGTACAGGACTCCTCAGCATAAAGGATAAAGCTCCGGAGTTTGTGGCCCAGAGTCAATCACTGGAAGGCAGTACATGCAGCTGACTGGTTCCAAGAAGGAGGAAACGCCCGCCCTAGATTCTACTGCTAGCCGCTATCCATCATTAGATTCCAATAAACCTCCAAAATGGAGAGGGTTTTATTGTAATCGCTTCCACGAAGTATAGTACTTCATATATTTTCTTAGCATTCAGTCTTACAAAAGGAATGTATCAATTTACCGTCTTGCATTTATGAGGTGCCTGGTGATTTCATGGGTTAGAATCTTGCTTCTATTCAAGCGTAAGTTCTTGGGAAGGTGTTCAGATAACTGAAATGGTTACTTTAATGTCAGACTTTCCAATGTACTTGCTACCACAAGTGCCTGTAAATTCATAAATCCAATTGAAGATGAGAAGAGTAGGATATTTATCCAATTTGAACTGGTTCATTGGGAATGGATTATCGTATACTAATACAAATTTAGCTGCAAGAAAACTTCTTTTTAGTCTTTCTTTGACCTTTATATCGATTGTCTTGGGTATTGTATCTCTCTTGAATGTAAGGTGAATAAAAAACGTTTTCTCCTCAACAGGTGATTGCTTAATTCTTTTGCATACTTCATAATAAATCTCTGAGGGTATTCATTCACTTGGAAATACTTTTCGGAAATATTTGACTCTTCATTTAACCTGTTCACAGAGCATTCCACAGGATACGGAACTATCGTTTTTCTCCTCATGAGAAGGTTGTTTTAGATATACAAGGCATCAAATGACATTATAACAAGGAACAAAATTGACCCTCTCCAGTAATATCCAATATTGATGGTACGAGCGTAGAAAACTGATAGTTTTCGCGCTCTTGCGTCTAGTTCTTAGGGCTGGGTCCGAGTTGTTCGGTTGACTCCTGCAGTGGACGAGGAAATCTTCTCTGCTTTCTTGCTTTTAGCTTCGGTGAGGTAGATGTTTTGTGGCTTAGTAAGTTGCAATTTGTACAGTGATTGGAGAGCTACGGGTTGCTGGGAACGTTAAGGAACTTTTGTGACTCTTGTCTGTGTAGGTATCTGAATGGGAATAGTAAAGTGGTAGTAAAGAAAGAAAAGAGGAGAAAGAAGAAAGTATGTAGGAGTTACCCGAAAGGTAAAAGTAGGTAGCGTATGCCTGTTTTCTAGAGAAGAGTTTGTAGGTATTGTAGGTGTATTAAGGAGAGAGGTAGTGAGTGGTAGGTAAAAGGGAGATGAGGGTGGGCTGGTGAAGTTGGCGACTGCCTGAGTACGTCCATGGTAGACCATGCGAAGTGACATAACTGTCTAACCGTCTCTTGGATGAGTCAGCCGAGGGACTATGACGATATGTCATGGTAGGGCATTCCGCAAAGCACATACTCTCAAGGAGAAAAAGGTTGTGTTTGAGCGTGGTATTAGCTCTCTGATGTGCTATCCTAATGGGGTCTCCTCGTGATGACCGCTGTGTTGTAGGCAAAGCAAATTTATTTGCGTGGTTTGCCTGATGAGCAGTCTTGTAGACCATAATAAGGTTATCCCTCTTCCTACGATAATCCAAGGTGAATAGGTTTAGGTGTTTTAGCCTTTCAGGGCATGTCTCCTCCTTTGGACCCACAACTATTTTCGTTGCAGATCTCTGTATTCTGTCAAGGAGTTTAGAGTCTGTCTTCAGTGTTGGGGGGCCACTTGTAGGCACGGCAGTACATGGGATTTGAAAACTGTGAGGAAGATTTCAGGAGTGAGGGCCCCAAGCTGTCTATGCAGAATGGATAAGGGGTCAATCTGTTCATCAATTCGATTGAAAAACAACAGAGATGTTATAAGGATTCACTTTTTCATGGATTTCTAAATTTTTTATCAATCCTTCAGTCTGCTAATTTACATGTTGTTAAACTCAGATGGCAAAACTGTTTCTCGGCTTTGAATGGAAAACCTTGGGCAGTTTAAAACTTATCAGTAGTAGGCAGTTATAAAGATAGATTATTTTTATATCGTGTGTTTGGTTTTCCTAGATAAAAAATTATAAGGCCCTGACAACTAAAGTTTAATTTTGAGGGAGTTGTGGGGATTTGGAAATATTTCAAGTTGTTATTCATCGTAGACTGACATCATTTGGAGGAACAAAGGAAACCTGGAGTGCCATACTAGGACGAAACAGCTTCCCAGTGCTCCCAGGTTTCCTTTGTTCCTCCAACTGATGTCAGTCTACGATGAATAACAACTAAATTTTATTTTGGGGGGAATTAGGACTTTTATTTTGAGGTAGTTATTCCTGACGGTGCTTCCAAGTTTTCAATGATTCTCCAAATGATATCAGTCCATGATGAATACTACCTCAACACTCAAGTCACTATTGGTCTCAAAATGCATTACTGTATAGTGCTCATCAGTGACATGCTTTCAGATGGATATCCCGAAGTTCTAATCAGGAGACATGACCTGTGGGGTCAATCAGTCGGGACGAAAGTCGATGCCAACTGGTAGTCGCACCACATTGCAAACTGACAGAAGTTGGAAATTGTGAACTATTGAACTTCGACCCAGTGGCTGGATGGTTAACGCGTTCAACGTAAAACCTGAAAGTTCTGAGTTCGACTTTATAGCCTGGTCATGAATGCGTGCTGCTGAGGAGTTCAACACTAGGACGAAACAGCTGTCCAGTGCTCCCAGGTTTTCAATGGTTCTTCAACTCATGTCAGTTTGTGTTGGATACTACCTCAAAACTAAACTTCAGTTTTAAAAAGTCAGTTCCATATTATCAAGATGTTCATGCAACTAACACGTTTTTCCGCCTTCAATTATTGAGTAAATCGGTGTATTTAAGGTTGATCCAATTGCTGTAGTATAGCAGAAATATATAACTAGCATCAGTCTGTGATTTGCATTCTTGCAATATGAAATAGTGAACTCCGTTTAGATTTATCTACTTGTGTCATTATCACTAAGTTCATCGTAAGCAAGTAAGTACACAGACTTTTCTTAGTGACATGTGCTCATTTTGTCCGTTAAACATATATATATATATATATATATATATATATATATATATATATACTGGATGATGATTCAAGGTGAGATGGGAATTTAGACCACTGCCGGATTCGAACCAGCGACCACCAGGTTTCCAGCCCGATGTTCAACCAGCTGAACTACGAAGTGCTACTGCTGGCCAGATTTTTATTTCCCTTCAATCACCGTGGGTTTCACCGAACTACCATGTAAATTCGTGACGCTTTACTACTGCATTGGCTGCCTAGTCAGGACTTCTCATCGCAATCCAAATCCAACTGAATTAGAGAAAGGAAGCATCATATTGATCATCATTTGACTATCTGAGATAGCCGTGGTTTGGCAGACTAGCATTGATACTGAGTGATGATTGAAGGTGAAATAAAAATCTGGCCAGCAGTAGCACTTCATAGTTCAGCTGGTAGAACATTGGGCTGGAAACCTGATGGTCTCTGTTTCAAATCCGGCAGTGGTCTAAATTTTCATCTCACCTTCAATCATCATCTAGTGTAAATACTAGTCTACCAAACCACGGTTATCTCAGATCGTCAAAATGAACTTGCATACATTTTCTTGAAGATCAATGTTACACAACAGTTGAATCATCTCTCCACAGTTTAGCGTGTAAAAACATGTGACTGTACAAATTCTCGTGTGAATGTACAGTTTGAATAAATTCATCGTTTTGTTTTGTATCTCAGAAACTCATTACCTATCCTCATCCTCTTTTCTATTAACATGTCATTCTTTTCAGTTACCATCAAAAAAAGTACATAGATTACTTCTAAACAGGTAGCGCATAATACAAAGGTATAAACATGTGATGTACATAGGAAATTTGTTTAGTCTAAGCACTTAAGTTTGCTATAATTTCAGTATACCCAACCATTTTTCTTACCTCAAATTATTTTTATTAAGAAGTGAAACTCATAAACAGTTTACAGTAGTGTTACTAAAATACAATAAAATAATAATGGTCTTATTTATGGATAGTGGCTAGCAATAGGATCTAGACCGTAAGTTTCGCTCTATTTACGACTCGTCAGCCGTACCTACACTCCCATTAGGATTTAAACCCAAAACGGATCGCTTCAAATGCCAGAGTATTATCTACTAAACCAATGAGTCACAAGTTGGACAAAACGCACGTCTTGGATCCCACTGTTAACCAGTATACGTCACTAGTTTCAAAACTAAAGATACTAGCAATTATGAAGTGTCTACAAAGGAGCGTGTATAAAAATAGCGGCCGATTCAGTCGATCCAATCACTGACGAAGATATATAAGCTATATCTTCGAAGAATGATGATTTTTTTTGTCAGTGTTGATGTGTACGTGTATGCAGTTGTAAATGCTTGTTCACCATCGTTACTTGAGCGTAGTGTAATGGTCTAGGTAGAAATTATATAGCTAAATGTAGTGAAAAATAAGTGACTGGCTGCTTCTACCACACATTTCATGAGTTTCATGTTCAAATTTTCAAGTGTTTTAATAAGAAATGCTACCTTTTATTCATTTTAGTGGATATCACAGATTTATTATTTAGGGCTAAATTGTGTGTTGATCAAACCGTGTTTGTTCAGTTGGCAATACTGCTATGAAGCTAGAAGTTTCATCAAGATACACTTTGTTTACTTCTAGATGACTGAGAGTTAACTGGCGTAAAGCTCTGGATTTAAGGTTCCAAAGTTCCCAATTGAATACATCGTGATGTATAGTTTCCTGGATTTGCTGACATATTCCTTGCTGTACTATAGATCTCTGTTCAGTAATCTATCGATGTACCCTATAAATTATAGATATGCATATAAATTCTGTTATAAAGTTCCTGAATGTAGTAAAACTCACAGAGATATGTAAAAGCCCGTGTAAACTTGTCATCCGGAGTAGTAGCGGAAACCGCTGTTCTCAATAGACATCTAATAAAGTTTCTTACAGACATATTCATAGAGATAACTGCTGCTGCGTCCAACTTCGATAGACTTACCTCCATACTCGGGAAAAAAACTTGGTTAATATCGAATATGCAGACGGTTCTGCTTTGTCAGAAGTTGTCAGTGACGTGGAGAGTCTAACAAATGTCTTGAGGAGAACTCCGAATATCTTTGAAATGCATTTTATACCTGACAAAAATAAGGAATTATGAAATTGGCCAGTGTTGACATCTAGTTAGAGGATATGAAGAAAGATCATCCGATGGTTTAACTACTGTACTTTCTTCTTATCTTGCACCAACTTTATTGCTCTAATGACCAGCAAAATCTGTACATCTACCAACGAACTCCATCCTTAGTAGTGGTGAGAAATTTGATTGATTACCTTAGAAATGGTTATATTGTATACATCTGTCTATTCTGTTTCACTGTAAAACTGCTGCTGACGGTGGACTGCATAATGATATTCTACATGGTTAATCCTGGATGTCTTCAAACCGGGTCTTTTTGTAGGTTAGGATTATCGAGTGACGAATATTCAGGTTAAATGTGAATGTATTCCATTAAGAGGAACGCCTAACTGGAACTGGAAATAAATTGTTCATGACGAGTCAATATGTATCTCGACGGTGTTGGGCAGTACTAGGACCTTAAGCTAACGGCTGTTGAAAACTCATGTTACTTTAGTGAGCTAAGTAGGCTTTCGTCAGGCTTTAAGTCATGATTATTATTATTATTTGTCCCTTGGGTTCCTAATGGAATATAGGGCTTCAGAAGCACGTCTACATTCCACTCTGTTCTCTATAAACTTTTGAACCTGGCTCCACGACTCCCCACAAGCTCTCATTTCTTCCTCACATCATCTCCTCCATGTCACCCTCACCTCCGAAGCCCAACTCGTCGCTTCCCATCTGGGATCCACTCGAGCAACTGGCCTGACGTGTGATGTCCCCAGTCAGCCCTCTCAGTGTATGTCCAGTCCAATCCATCTCCACTTCCTTCCAGTGCATATTTGTTGAGCGATAGCATCTTGGTTGGTTCGTTGCCAGTCAGCCAGAGTTCCTTGTTGCTTATTCTTATTATTCTGGCCATCTGATCTTCTGTAACGAGCCAGTGTAGGCAGTTGTTGACGAATGTCTGTAGTTTGTTGGAAATCCGTTTCGTAACGCGGCAAGTCTCTGAACCACACAAGAGCAGTGACTTGACTGAATTGGTGTTGAAAATACAGATCTTGTTCTTTATGCTGGGCGGAGTGCAGAAGATATCCACACTGGTTTCAGGCTAATGAACGCCTGTCTTGTTTTTCCGATTCTGACTTTGACATCTTCGTCTGTGCCGCCTGTAGTTGAAACAGTGCTGCCTAGGTGGGTGAAAGAGGCTACTTCCTTTAAGTTTTCCCCGTTGATGGTGATTGGTGTTTTTTGTTGTTGTTGGTGGTGGTTGGGTATCATCATCACCTCTGTCTCCCCTACATTCAGGTGAAGTCCCATCTTCGTAGCCTCGCCTCTTAAGTCAACTTGTTGGTTTTCGCCTGCAGCTCTTCAAGTCTGTGTGGCATTAGACGCAAGTCATTGGTGAAATCCAAATCTTCTAGGTTCTTTTCCCCGGTCTAGCGTATCCCCTTCTACTCACAGCTCCCCACTGTTTGCTGCATGATCCAGTCCACTACAATCAAGAATATCATGGGTGATATTAGGTAGCCTTGTTTCACTCCTGTCTTCACTTCGAAAGCATCACTGAGCTTCCCATTATGAATTACTTGACATGTGGCGTCTTCATATAGTTGTTGAATGAGGCTGATAAAGGTTTGTGGTATTCCATAGTGTTGAAGCAGTTTCCAAATTACTTCTTGGTCGACGCTGTCAAAAAGCTTTTCAAAGTCGATGAAGTTGAGGTAGAGAGTTGACTGCCATTCTGTACTCTGTTCTATGGTGATGCGAAGCGTTGCAATTTAGTCCACACATGGATTTTACTTCCTGAGTCCAGCCTGTTCCGATCGTAGTTTTGAATCGAGCACATCCTTTAGTCTCTCCAGGATGGTGCGGCCTAATATTTTGCTTGCATTGGGTGGACAGGAGCATGATTCCGCGCCAGTTCTTGCAAATACTTAGGTCGCCCTTCTTCGGGAGTTTGACAAGGTAGCCCTTCTTCCAATCAGTTTGCAGGCACCTTCCCTCCCTTCCACACCTTCTGCAATAGTGGTGTGAGCATGTCCGCTGTTGTTCCTACGTCTGTTCTCAGTACTTCTGGCGGTATTCCATCTGGTCCTGCTGCTTTCCCACATTTCAGTAGCTTTAAGGCGTTCAGGACTTCCATTTTTGTTGGAGGATTTGCGTTCACTTGTAGTTCTATGGCTGCAGGTGGTGGTCGATTCAAGAGCTTTATGAAGCAGTCGACCCACCGTTTCCTTTGTTTCTCTTCTTTGGTAATTAAATTGCCTTCGTCATCTTTTATTGGTTTCATCTGTATTGATCTTTTCACTACCAGATAGTAACCTGGTTATTTGATACAATGTTGTCAGGTCTCTGTCTCTCCTACCTGCAGCTTGTTCTGTTTCACTTGCCAGTGTTTCGCAGAATTATCTTTTGCCTCTGCGCGCACTCTCCTTCACTTCTTTATCCAGTGTAGTGTTTTATACATTGTAATCAGTTCCCCTTGTCGTTGTGCATCCTTGCACTGGTTTATCTTCTGCTCCACCATCCTCCTCTCTTTTGTCAGCTTCCATGTATCCATCGATATCCATTCCTTATCTTCTTTTTTCTTCCTTCCTAATACGGTTGTGCAGGTTTTTTCCCATATCTCTTTCAAGGACTTCCAGTGTTCTTCCACACAGGTTTCTTCAGGGATATTGCTCAATATCTCCTATTTTGTCTTGATGGCTGAGGTGAAGATTTTCTTTGTAGTTTCGTCCTTCAGTTTCCGAGTGTTGTACTTGAACTGTGGTCTATCACCAGCTTCCTTGAAGGCTTTTAACTTGATTTAGAAGGTTCCTTGCACTAGATAGTGGTCTGAACCTACATCGCTACCCTTCTTGACCTAGCGTCAATTAAGCTGGCTGTGTCTCCACTTTCTTGAGATTGAGATGAAGTCGATCTGATTTTTAGTGTGTCCTGGTGTCTGGTGAAATCCATGTCGCTTTGTGGATATCCTTGTGTTTGTATACGCTAACTCGCCTCCATTCACCAAATTATTGAATACACAGAATTTTGCAAAAAATTCTCCATTCTCATTCATTTCACCGAACGCTTCTCGACCCATGGTGAGTTCTCTTCCTGTGTTGTCCCCTCCCAGTTTGGCATTCATGTCACCCCACCCATTAGAATTCTAATATCGCCAACTGAGGTCTTGTCCAGTGTTGATTGAAGTTGTCTGTAGAATTCCTCCTTCTTCTCTTCATCTGCACCATTTGTAGGTGCATAGCATTGAATGACTGTGACTTTCCTCTCTTTTTAGTTGAACTTTGCTGTTTTGATCCTGCAAAACGGGGTTGGTTCATACTGGATCAGAGAGAGCCTTCGATGCTGTTGAAGACATCATGATAGCCACTCCAAAACTCAGTTTACTCGTGGTTGTCGTCTGGGTGACAGTATCGGAGTAGATTATTGACTCTCCAGTTGACAGTTTGGAGAGTGCACTTTCATCCCACCTACTTTCGCAGATTCTTAGCACTTCAATGCTGTACCTTCTCATCTCATTTGCGATCTGGGCAGCCTTACTAGGTTCAGACATGGTGCGGACATTCCATGTTCCCATGTTTACTTTTGCTTTCATCGAGAGAAGAGAAGACACTTCGGTTAATTGACTTCGTGAAGGCTTTCACCAACTGGCGTCATTTCGCCCCTCCGATTCCAGCGAGGAATACTTTTGTTTTTATTTTTTTATATTTCGTTTGTGCTTTGAAGTTTCTTTAGCGGTTAGATTTGTTTTACGGGGTAGGGTTGCTAGCCCTATGCCCAACCTTCCCTCTTTACCCGGGCTTAGGACCGGCTAGTAACTAGTAAACTAGTTAACCAGGTGACGTTGTTTAAGTCATTACTTACCATGAAATTACTCAGTTCATAAATGAAACTTGTTCCTATGAGATATCTCTCTGTTTAAATCTGTATAACCACTTTACATAACCGCTACTCTATTCCATCCATATTTTCTATAAATTACCTTTGAATTTCTTTTAAATAAAATTTATTTTCCTATTTTTCTTTAGAGAAAGATTCCTTATTGTTCGACCATCAGAGTATCTTCCACGTATACTTGTTGGTAATAAAGTAGATTTAACTGATGAAAGGCAAGTTTCTCGGGAATTAGCACTGAAAACAGCTCAACAGTGGAATATACCATATATGGAAACTTCGGCTAAGAATAATGCAGATGCTCAAAAAGTGAGTTTTGGCATAAATGAGTTTTTTCTTCAGCTAAACACGTTTTCCTTGTATTAAACAATGTCAGTTAGTATAGTTCATACTGCAAGTTTTATGGCTATTGTATACTTATGAAATTTTGGTAGATAATTTTGAAGTACAGTAACAAGATTTTGTCAGTAGTTGACCAAGCTTTTGTAATGAATGACTAGAACATTTGTACATTAAAGATCTTCATAGTTAAGTGGTTTGTGAGAAACGAATTTTAATTTAACTTCCAAATCAACATAGGACCAAGCATTACTGCGTAACGATCCGAGTTGCCACAGCTCAGTACAGTACATCAAGTAGAAAGGTAGTGAGGTGAAGGATGAGGATAAGAGAATGCAGTCAAAAGAAATATTAAGTACGAGAAGAAAGAAAGGTGAGATTCGGTATAGTGTAAAGATGAGGATAGTGTGTGTATACGTCTGCGCCACTGACATCGGTTCTGAGCCATATCCCCTACAGTCTCCAACCACTGGTTCCTCTTGTCCCCCGGACCCCAACCACCTAGTCTGCATCGCCGCACATGACTCAAACCAACAGTCAGAGACTTCATACATTGGTGCCATGTTCTAGTCTGGCCACCTCGGGCCTTTTTCCAGCCTGGACCCACCTCAGCCAACATTGTGTGACAAGGCAATCGGTGACTAGGCATAAGTAGTACTTATCCCAACCATCTCAAACGATGAAAGTTCATAACCTTGTCAACTGATTTACCTCTACTCCCTAAAATTCTACACCTGACTTCTGCATTACTCACCTGGTGACACCACGGAATACGTCCTATGCTACGAAAGCAACAGTGGTCAAACACCTGAAGCCTTCTCATGTCTTCCACCTTGAATGGCCATGTTTCACAGCCATACAGTAGAACAGAGCGGACTGCTGTGCAGTTTACGTGACCCTTAATAGACAAACGGATATCAGGGCGGCGCCATAGGTGGCGCAAATTGTCAAAAGCCAATCGAGCCTTTTGTATCCGTGCAGAGATTTCATCGGCCACTGAGCCACCAGGGCAGGGCTGACCCTACTTCCCAGGTAAGTGAAGTGGTCAACACACTCAACCACTTCACTCTCTGTTGTTAGCCGCGGCACAGCTGAAGACCAGTCCTGGAGCAAAAATTTGCATTTGGGTGGTGAGAACCACATCCCAAACATTCTCAAATTCCTACTCAGAGTTTTCAGAAGATTCTGCATCTTGTCAGCGTCTTCACCTAACAGGACCATGCCATCTGCATATTCTAGGTCTAACGAAAATTCTTATGTGATTAGGTCAACGTCTGTGTAACCTGGTGACGAGGGAGACCTCCATTATAATATCTATGATGAAATTGAATAAGAATGGAGACAGCGGGCATCCTTGACGGGCACCACCTTGAAAGATGAATCTTGAGGAGCTGAACCACTTAACTTCATTAGATGTTCACATATGAAAGTCGTTATTCTACGCTCGACGTCATCAAAACCTAGTAGTCTCCCGCAATGCCATTCAGGAAGACCCTCTTATCAATTTCAAGTTAGTCAGCCCACAAAAATCATGTAAATTTGTAGATACATATAGATGTGAACATAAATGACAACCTATCCTTTATGCATTGCGCAATCATGCTTCTTAATTCAGTTGTTCAGTATAACGACTTCAGTATTCACTTCCACAAGACTTCTTGAACAATAAATCCACTTAGTCACAAGCTGTTTTTCAGTATAAATTATACTCTTTTGAATTGAAGTAAATCAACGCTTCAGTTGAGGTTATCTGTTAGTTTTCGTATAATGAGGGTAGAAATTGAATTATTTAACCGTACGGCACGAAATTATTCGTAAAAAACAACAGATGAACATGTTTTCACCATAATGTTCTTCACTTAGCGAATAGAATTTAGAGTATTTATGAAATAATGTCATACAAACCCAAGTAGGTAATTAATTGGCCTGAATAGCTCAGTGGTAACATCTCTGGCTAAGTGACGTAGGTTGATATCTCACAGAGGACAACAGTTGCTTAAAGGTTACAGATACGTCTTGCTGACGAATGACAATGAGCACAAAATCTAGATCTGAGGCTTCTTACTGGTTGACTTCAACCAGTTAACATATATCAAAGTCCATCATAAGCATTAAAAAGTAATTATTTGAGAAAACATACACAAAAATGCATCATATATAGTGAAATTAGTGATTTCAAGATTTTTTTCCAAGAACATACTTCTGTCCTTGAATTCACCATCCTGATAGTCTTCAGCTGGATAATTTTAATAAAAGTAACTTTAAAGCAAACTACTATTTTCACTCAACATCTACAGACAGATATATTGAGAAAGATTATTAGATTCTCCTCTGTTATTACTCATCTCTCTTTGAGTAGGCTGATATTATTTCATCTAGCCAAATAGTTTCTGAAGATCTTAGGAACTTGAAAAGATTCAGCATGTGATTGATGACCTGAGTTATAGAACGACTGAGAATTGAAGAGTACTTTGGTGAAATGTTGTGTTATACAACTTAGACACCTCTCATCAGTGTACATTAAATAGTTCCCTGTAGGCTGAATACAACACCTTCAAGATCTCAGGACAGTTGTGATACCATTTTTTTACCCATTAATCAGCTTTCATATGTTTACTTCATGTGGTACAACACTTTGTATAACCAAAATCGTTTGGAGTATCTATAGTTACATGTAATTTTATATTAATTACAATACTGGACCCCGTTGATCGGGCTCTTTTAGTATGTGGGCTTGTATGTGAATGTCTTGACTCACTATGATATAATTTGCTTGATGTTGACTAACACTGGAGTTGAGCAAGAACATTTCGTCTTATTTATGACTCATCAGGTGAATATAATTGCGTCACAGTGAGTGATATATATTACTCTTATGTCTGGAGCGATAAGTTCTGGGTTTGAGTCCCACCGCAATGCAGATAAATCCGAATAATCAATCCTCAATAGAACGGAATATCTGTACTAGATTTCATTACTAGACACTGAAAAGTGAATCAAATCTTTTGAGATAGTTCAATTTATACTACTTACTATTTCTAAGTAGACTGAATACAATACCTTCAAAATCTCAGGACAGTTGTGATACCATTTTTTTTTATCCATTGATCAGTTTTCATATTTTTACTTCATGAACCTAAAAAATACTTTTTCTTCATCATCAACAACAACATATAAAAACAGATATTTTATAGTGTCTCCAAAGAAATATTCGTAATGAAATGTGCTAATCAACAACCACAATTGGAACAGAATAAATCACGTGAAGATGGTTGTTGTACAATTATATGAAACTTGTTAGGATCGGATACAAGAAATGAATGAGACGGTTAGATATCTCTATCTATCCATTTATACACAATGTACACCTTTGATGTATTTCATCTAATATTGGTGAAGTTTGTGTAGTGTTTCGATATGATTTACTTTCTCTATACTTTTTTCTTTCTCATTTTAAGTGATTCAATGTGAAAATATCATTCCAGTAGAAATTGATAATTGAACTGTTGTTTATCTTTGAGCTTTTTAAAAGAGATTTTCAATTTCATTAAACATTTTTCTATAAAATAAAATATGTATGTATGTTTGTAAGGATATCCTTCTTTGTTCTATATATATATATTTTGTGAGAAATCTTGTACAATTCATCTTTCTTTTTCTGATCATGATATCAAGTAAATGTACTTTTTTCTCCTACTTTTCTACATTTTCTTTATATATTTTCACGCGCGTAACCTTTATCACTTTAGCTTAATAAATAAGTATGAGAATTTTATCCACTTCCTTTGGTCGTATTTATTCAATGATACTTTTGTACTATGAAGCACTGGAAAGTGTTTCTACTTTTCTGGGCACTACTGTTGCTTTTTTTCTTTTCGGTTGAACTTTAGTATTACTTGTTAAAAATTCAATGGGAATTAGATTGGTTTTTGTTAAAATGAATATGTTGTCGTCGCCTAATAATTCTATTTTACACTCTTTACCAATATAAGTAAATGATCACAATTTGTGCTTTGTGCTATATATATATATATATATATATATATATATATATATATATATATATATATATATATATATATATATATATATATATATATATATATAATGTCCTGTTACTTTCAATTATTTGTTGAACATTTTGTACATGTTTACTTTTTACTGAACAAATGCTGTTTTCTCTATAAAAATTAAAATTTTAAAAAATGTTTTAACAAAAACTAGTTATGAGTAATTGAATTGTCTAAGGTAGCCTTGTATAGGTGATAAATATGTATTGAATTTTTAGTGAAAAATATATCTTAATGTAGGATAAGAAAGTTAATTCCACCTTAATTACGTTTTGGCGTTTATTTTACTCGTCCTAATACGAAATGCTTATATGGGTTAATTTACTTATTACATTGGAGACTGAAAATTCAAAATGAATTTATCTCAGAAAAAGGGAGAATTATTGATTGATTGAGTACGTTTCATGTTATTTTATTGAACTGAAACCAGTTTTGAATTAACTCGAAGATTTTTTTTCTAGGTTTTCGAAATTTCTTGTTATTATTGTCAGGTAAGATCAATAATGTTCACCTTTTATGACCTTTCTGTTATTTTTTCTCATGGTAAAAGGGTTTTGCTCTTAAGTGTCTTTAGTAATCTCCAAAAGTAACCATTCTCAGTGTAATAAAGTGGATATTTTATAAGACCTAAATGGTTTGGATGTGTAGTTATTATACTTCTTGACCGACAGCTTGGTGCAAATATATTATTACTTTCAGTACCTATGCTTGAATATGAGTGTAGACGGAACAATAGTAACACTTGTTCCATCTGCAATGGCTTAACTAATAATTACTTTGAACTGGTCCTAACCCAACTGGAAAATCTTGGGGCTAACTTCGGTAACTTAGGGTTGAATATATGCTGAAAACCTTTAGATGAAGCAACACTTTTCTGCAGTTCCCAAAGTGTTTTTGGATACCATTCCATGGTACCTGAGGTTAGCCTTAGGTTTTTTGCAGACTTATGTTCAGTCCCCTTAATTGGTTCGAAGTATTTTGCAAACCGCTCTGCACTTGCCAAAAATGTTGAAAGAACAATCCACAGTTCCTGAAGCTTATGGTAGACCATTTCAGTTCCCTAAGTTAGCCAGAAGTTTCTGACCGATCGTTCTACACTTCTTGGATCTTTTGTCCTAACAAGCAACAGTTCTCCAAGTTACCCTGAAGTTCTTGGTAGAAAACCCCACGGTCCCCTTTCAGTAAAATACCTCACATTGAACATACAGCTCACCCAAAGTTACATACGTACATCTTCATAACTCAACAGTCTACCTGAAGGTCATATAACCAAGGAAAGTGAATCAGAAGGCTTTTGTATTAAACAGAAGAAATTTATTAAACCGTACCAGTGGCATATACGTTAAGCATTTCGGTCTTCTCCCATATTTACCTGGAGACTGCAATCCCAGCTTGTGGACATACCTCGTTATTCGAGAATGTAATGTTGACCTGTGCATTTGTAGTTTAAAGTTGAGCTTTTATCTACAAACAAGGCAACTTTTATGACACAGGCGTACGTAAGTCTTTACATCGGCTGATTAGAGTTTGTCTATCAGCGATTTCAGGCAACCATTGTGTACAGTTGCTTGATAGATGCTGCCTGTAGCATGCAGATAACCAGAGACATTTACATTTCGACCAAGACTATCTGAAGTTCACTTTCATCAGAGAAATTCAAGGTGTACAAACAAGAAAGTGACAAGTAGCTACATAAAGTCTACTAACAAACGAAGTTCTGTTGTGAATATAATTAATACTTTCATTTTAACCCAAACAGAATAGATTTCACAAGTGTCACTTGCCTCTACTGTCAGCCATGTTTAGAAAGTGAAAAATGCAGGAAGTATACTTGTAGGCACAGTCAATGAATTAAAACTGCTTTCAATGCTCAGGGGTGTGAACCACATCGAAATGTTGTGCTTTTACTAAAATTTTCTTCAAATTACGTTATCATTTTAAATTTGAAGGATTCTCTCATTATTTTACCTTTTACGGCAGCAGTCTCCTTTAGTCTGCGTCACAAAATCAAATTACTCTGAAATTCCGCATAGCGGCAGTATACTACCACTGAATTCTGAAGTTACCCAAAAGTTTGAATTTCCGGTAAGTTTCCATTTGCTGAACGCTTATACTTCCCAAAAGGGGTTTTCTAGAAACGATCTAATTGAAAATAAATTCTCATTGTAAATTTATGTTCAAGGATTATAATTTCAACGTTTTCCATAGAAACTTCGGCTCTGGCCTGAAGTCTCCTAACCGAACTCGAAGGACACTTCGCCCAACTTCCATACTGCTGGAGGTAAGCCTAAAGTTATTACCAGTTGGTACTGTACTATTCAGCTGATCATAAAATGAGAAAAGGAGCTACCATTATTGTGTATACGAATGTAGCAGTGCTAGCAGGGAAGGTGACATTGTGCACTCAGCTTTCTTCTAGTTATATCAGGTAACCGGAAGCATTCTAGGCAATTCGCAAGAAATACCCTTCTTGATGTTGATTGGTGAAAATTAGCCAGTACATTAGTCAACTTGAATTTCATACCTTTCAGTGTTCATGGATATAATAAGTATATAACATTGATTGAACCAGTGATTATTGAGAAATTCAACTTCGTACCACTCACTTCCATAGCCAAAGAGGTCAAAGAAAGTTATGTAGATGGCTACCTACCCTTTGTAAAAGTCAGACGATTTCGCTGATCAGTTTCCCTGTAGAAACACTTCGAGTTGGATGGAATGAAAGTTATTGGTATCTTCTGACCAGTCAGCTGAGAAACATCTGTTCTTCAGTTAGTTGTAAAACCATATCACTAGATGACGCGCATTAATGGAGACGCAACGCTTTGATTGATACAAACTAAAAGAAATCAGATTTCTGTTCCAGGACATCTGTGACTGAAACATACCCTCAAGACAAGTTAACTTAATTGAAAATCCCAATCAACTTAAACGAAATGGCTGGTGACAAGACTTCTGCTGAGATAAGAAGGACCCACTTGGTATTTGTCAACTTGCGTCATATCTGACTACGGGCTTGAATAATACGATGACCCAACAAGTGATAATGGCTGGAAGGCCTGACCCCTCGATGTCCTACCATACCAGAAATTCCTTTTACATACTGATAATAAAAAAGCGGTCATCTTTATAGTGTAAATACTACCCTATGATGGGGGACGAGAGTGTGGTCGTACTGGTGCTTGACAAGTATGTGACACCGTTAATGTGTCTCCCACGAGTGGCCAGCAGTACCGTTCTGATGCTGTCTCTCTACTAGGAAACGCCGTAAGAAAATTTCAATCTGCAAAAAGTACAGTCCTCTCTAACCCGTGGCACACCAGTGCCAGAAATAAGGGTTCATAGCTGGATTCATAAAAAACGAACTAAAATCCCAAGCTTCTGGAAAAGCTGTGTGACGGGCCCCAAGCAGATGTTTTCTGAGCTTTGAAGACGACTCAAACACTTATAAGGGTGTTAAAAACTATGATGAGTCTATCATGTGTCTCAGCTGTACCCACTCTTATCCAATTTTATAACAAGTACCAGCGGTGGATTTCTCTCGTCTTCTGACCTTACAGGAATTGAGCTCATCAGAGTAGAATCCTTGGCAGACATAAAATCCACATACGACGTGATCCGATTGGATGAAGACATCGAGAAGATATAGAGTCTCCTAGATGAATCGAGTGGCAATTCAAGAATGTCTGAGATGCGTTTCTAGCTACCCAAATGAAACCTGTTGCTGCAAAACATATCTTACATGGTGCTATGTCTAACTGTAAGCAGTGAAGCGGTTGATTGCACTGACAACTTCACTTGCCTCGGAAGTCAGATCAGTCCCGATAGATCAGTGACTGATGGAATCTTATTGCACATACAACTCGCTCTCACGAACTTACGCCACTCGTGGCATTACCATGATGTCCGATTGTCTATCAAGAATCGAGTATATTGTGCTGCAGCTCGCTACGTCCTATTATATGAATATTTAACATGGCCGCTGAAAGTGGAGGACATGAGATGGCTTCAGGTGTTCGACCACCTTTGCCCTCTTGGCGTCACCTCACCGGTAATGTAGTAGTCAGATCCAGTGTTTTAGGAAGGAGAGGAAAGTTATTTGATGAAGCTATGAACCTTCATCGGATCGGACTGTTGGGACATGTGTTACGTAACCCTGGCCACCATTTGCCTCGTTGCATAACGCTAGCTGAAGCTGAAGTAAGTTCATTTCAGACTGGAAAGAGGCAGGAGGCCGCCAGACAAAAATGCTACATC